TTCATCAGTTTAAATTAGTTTTCGTTTATTCAGTTCCTGTATAAAGAATGTCATCTTAGGCATTTCAAATGGGAACTAAGTAAGCTTTCTCTAATAGCTCTATAATCTAGCTGAATGGACAAGTTCTAATATTTCAGTTTTAGATCATAGGTAGAATGATGAATTTGAGTTTCCTTTTTGTTTTCCTATTTAGTTTTTGCTTGAAGCTCAAATAAATCACCTGCAACTTTGAAAGTTAGTTTCTTTCTATCATGCATCATCCAGCACTAAAAAGATGAGAACTGGTGTTAGGCCCCTTCACCCTCTCCCCGTCCTCCTCTAATAACCACTCCTTGGGAGCCTTCCCCTTTTAAGTCTGGAAGAAGATTGAAAGAATTCAGGCCCTAATAATCTGAATTGGACCCAAATCAGTCCAATTTTGTTTTCTTGTGTTTGTTTTGAAGGAATGAGAAACTTTGTTTACTAAATGAAGCATGTTGTTTAATCTCTTAGTCCTTGTTTCCTGAATATTATTAAAAAAGAAAAAAGAAAATCATCTACTAATCTGGTAACATTGAATTGGTTATTCAAAATGGCCTCCTTTTCATGAACATTATTGTAATTTCCCCAATAGAACAAATATTTATCTATAAAAAATATTGGAATTTCCATATAGAATAGGGTTTTGGTCAAAATTTCTTCAAGTTTATCAAATTTTGCAATCTTAGAATGACAGAAACTGATGATGATATGAAGTATTAACAAATATTATGTATTAATTTTTTCTTGTGAAATGTAAGTGCACACTGCCTTATAACCTTAAAAGTTAGTTGAATGTGCCATGAATAAATTTTACTAAATCTAGTCAAGGGCTTTGGAGTAGGCTCCTAGAGGGCACCTATCTCTCATCTACAATTTGTTGAATCTTGTATGTTACTTTGAAAGAACTTCCAACTTGAAATTCAATATTCAGAAAAGATGTTTGAAAGCTTTGATTCTAGAAGATAGGGTGGTAGGGATATATGCTGGTAATCTAGGATTTTTTGTTTTTCCTGGCCTATGAACTATATGGTACTTCCTTTGGGTGGAAAATCTTATATCAATGTGGATTGGTTTTCGAAAGACGTTTGGTTAAGGGAGAAATGTTGCTGCTTATAGAAGATTTTTGGGTTGTTTTTCACTTGGCAAGAAAAGGCTAACTATTGCATTCATAATTTAGATTAAAGAGTAGTTAGATAATAGGACTACACTTCAAACAATTTGAGAAACCATTTTGTCTCATTTCTTTGAAAGTGGGGGAAAAATCATGTTGATGCATCCGATTAGTTCTGGTAGCTTTCATCTACTCCAATGGATCTTCATTAATTGGTTGGGTTATTCAGACCACTAAGAGAGAAATGTTACATGGGCTCTCCTAAATGTACAAATCTTCAGGGTTGTTTTTGATGTACACATTAGACTTTTCCTTCATACCCATCTAAGTTTATTCAACCCACTTCCATTGCTTTTATAGAGCCTTATTTTTATGTTCAATCAAGCTTTGAAAAACTATCATGTGATTTCCTCATGAATTTTCTACTATGAGTTACTTTCAGACCTGAAATCTCCCATTTTTCCCTGTGGTATGGTATGAATCTTGCTTTGTTTGCATTTAAAAAGTACTACTGTTCATTACCTTTCAAATCTGAAATTTTTCATGTGATTCCATTGCAACCGATTTAACATTTTCAAGCTTGAAATCTGCCATTTTGCTCTGTAGGGTGACTATCAAAAAAAAATCTCTATAGAATGGCCTGAATCTTGCTTCTTTGCATATGATATATTCTACGGTTTAATTGAGCATTCAAATCTGAAAATTTTCATGTGGTCCCACCATGAATTTGTTAATATGAGTAAAATTTTTCAAACCTGAAATCTAGCATTTTGCTTAATAGCATGGCCTGAACCTTGTTGTATTTACATATGATATATCCTACTACATATGATTCTCCTTTGATATCTGCAACAACAACTACAAAATATATTGCTTTGTAAAACTATGGTAGTGCAAATGATTTGGGTGCAAATTCTGAATTATTTTTTAATTCAAATTTTACCTTATTTTGTTTGATTGAAGTACAAATGAAGTAAAATAAGACCAAAAGCAGAATAAAGTAACAAGTAAACCATAATTAAACCAGAATTTGCATTCTTTTCATTTGCACTCCCATGCATTTGTAGTTATATACTAGTGCAAATAAAATTTCACCACAACCAAGGGAGGAATATCTCAAGGCTGCAATGCAAATCTGACCTAGACATTAATTCTGGACCTGGTTCTGTTTTCTGATTATGATATGCATTCTAGCCTTACACAAAATTTGTACTTTTGGCTCATTTGCAACCAAGGGAGAATGATCTCAAGGCTGTAGTGCAAACTAAAATTCATAAAATAAAATCAAAGTAACTAAATGTACTCAGATGTTTTAGGTTCAGGTTTACTAGTAGGGTTGTTTACTGACCTTCCTTGAACAATCCAAGAATCTAGTGGAAAGCAATCTAGTTGGGGGGGGGGGCAGATGTTTGTCTAGCCAGATTCTTCATGAAGCAAAATTTGACCCTACAATGCATAAGCACTTGTTAATCTTGTGTCTTACTATATGGGCAACTACAGAGGGCTTTGTCCAATGCTCACTTTTCTAGGTTCAGGATGGAATCCTAGTTCACACTTCTTGCCCTAGACATCCATACTTATTTTTCTGATTTTGAGTTTGGCCTTTTTGATCTGATCATGCAATCATACAATTATAACAATGTTAGCACCAAAGACTAAAGTCCCAAGTAAATGACCAAGCACATGATTAGGTTATTTCTGTAGTTATTAAAGTAAAATCTTAAGCCTAACATGCATGAGAACCGCTTTTGCACCGACTCTTTTAAATGCATGGTGTGTCCATGTTGGACACTCAAATGGATTCTTGAGGGCAAATGGCAAAGTCCAACACTCATGCCAAATGTTAGGTCCTTATCCAGTGCACCTTCCCAATACCCCAGATAGCTGGTACCATTCAAAAAGTTTATCACTTCAAGATGGAAAAATAATTGTCCATAAACATCAGTTGTAATCTTTGGTCTGTTATTGTTTTGTTTTACATCTATCTGCGTAATGTTTGGACAAATGGGCGTTCTATATTTGTAGCCTGCAAAAGTCCCAAATTGTATTGTAGCTTTTGTGTTGAATTGCAAAAGTCTTGAATTTCATTATTGTTTATTTTGGCTGATATATATATATATATATATGCACTTACTCTTATCATTTTGTCCATGCAATGTTGAGCTTTCAACATGATTTTATCATTTTGTCTTCTAATACAGGCAATTGCATATGCACTTACTCTAAGCACATCCTACCATTTCTGCAACCAAAACTTACTAAGACCTTGCTTTCATAACCACATCAAATCTTCATAAGCTTTGAAGGTTACCCCAGACAAACACATCCGCAAACAAAAAGAAAGGACCATAGATTAGTTCATAAATATTGTTGATTACAGTTTAGTGGATGCTACTAGATGGAATGATGGAAAATAATTTTGAAGGAGGGATGATCTATTATTGTGTGTGTGTGTGTCCCTAATGAACTTGTTAGAGTTTGAGTCTAACAAGGAAACGTCATGGAATGTTTTAATTGTTATAAGACAAGGATGGGATAAATTTGATGGGAAACTCATCTTAGGCACTTAGGGTTCAGATAAATTTATTTTTAAACTAATCTATATCGTTATTGTTGCAGACTAAGTCCATGATTGGGGCCGGAAATCAAATGCAACACACCTCCATCAAATGGTGAGGTTACTAACACATTTCATGTTTTTTTTTGTTCCTTCATTAATATATATATATATATATATATATATTGACTCTTGTCAATTTTCTTTTTTTTTTGTAGGCAGAAGAAGGAAGACGAGACTATAGTTCCTCCTCAAGGCGAGAGGCACTTTTTAAGAGGGCTCATTCAAATTCCCAAGGGCAGTTTTTTCATCCTTGGGCCAAAGAATTAGCTGTAATTACTTTTTAGAAGTTTGTTTATTCATTTGATAATTTCAATGTGGTTTTATGTTGGATCATTTAATATATTCTTTAAAACTATTGTAGGCAAGGAGAACTTTGTGACAAAGTAGGTGCTCATTATGCAGTAAGCGAGGTCTTGGGTAAGGAAGCATCCATCACGAGTTCGTTGCTTTGATTCGGGGTAAATCCTAAGCGTGCTTTTGGAATCCTTGGGTTCAATGTGTTCGTTGCCTCCACAACTACATCCAAACAACAAGTCGATCTAAGAGTCGAGTCAGATGTGAGTGTCATGCGGGCCAACATGGATGCCAAGATGTCACAGATGCATGCCTTAACTGCAACAATGCTCTCGGAGTCCCTATTTCGATCCCCCCCTTCACATTCAGTTCAAGTAACAAATTAATAATGAACTTGATGTGTTTGTGGGTCGAGTTTTATTGAACATATTAATTAAACTCTCCTCATTGTATCTGAATTTTCTTTAGTGCAAAATAAAAATCTTACTTTTGGAACCTTACAAGTAGAAAAACGTATATGATATGATAAGTCCAAAAACTAGCATTTTCATCTTTTGGCCAACCCACCACCAATTTGGAATCCCCCTCTATAACCAACTTAGTGATGTTTAGCTCATTAATTAGCCCTTCGAATTCCTTCTAGGACACCATATATTCTTCTATGCATTTTTTGTTTTTGAAAGATTGTGTATTGTATTATTCACTATTTACACCTTTCAAGAACTGCACTATTTTCATGCCATCGAACTCCTTTTGAACATTTTCCCATTCAACCAAGCACCTCTTAATCTTCCCAATCAACCGCTTTGGATCTGTCCCAATTTGATTAAATACTTTGCTATTATACCTTAGCCATATAGCCTGATACAAGGCCCCAGGAATTAGCTACCGTAATTTCTTCCCTGCTACTAAATACCTTAGATGCTTGGGATGTAATCAGAGAAGACAGGCTAGTTGGCATGACCATGATACCTTGAAAAGTTGTATGAAATGGCACCAAATACAGTCAGAGACTGGGCAACACAATACATCAATTTCTGATTGGCATAAGGAACACTGATTATCAAAAGCCAACCCCTTTTATATAAGATGAACAGTTGTTGGGATTCTACTAAGGATTTCAGACCACAGGAAAAATACTACCTTCAATGTCCATTTAGTTTTCCATATTCATGACCAAAGGGTAGGGATAATTGAGCTAAGAGCTGAAGATTTGAAAAATGATTGAACTGAAAATCTGCTCCAAGTCTCCAAGGTCCACCACATGCTATCTTGCCTTGGAGGGGTCAATTTGGGACTGCTACAACATGCCTAATCTCTTGCAAGTCTCTGGTGACCTCGTGCAACTGTATCTCCATTCCATTCCAAACGATCATCAACTTGCTCCCAACCACTTACCAACCAACTTGGCTACTTGATTTGTTACATTTAATTGATTCTTGATTAGCTATCCTTGGGAGCTGACATGGATTCCTTCTTCTTCTAGAATACACCTTTGACCTATTGGTCCATGACACCTGATTTCCCAAGATCTCCTAATAATCATAACCTCTAATTGATACTTCCTTGTTCTAACCAGTAGGAATAGAGAAGGGAAGAGTTCATTGAGGGGTTGAGTCCACAGAAAATGGGATTTTCCATAAATTAGTTTGCTCTCCATTTCTTAGCTTAAACAAGATGTTTCTCCGAGATTGGTTGAGTTTAGTTATGGCCTTCCGAATGCTAACCTCATAGGAAGCATGAACCTCACCTGTGGACCGGCTTTGATTTTCATCCCCATAAGGGATCTCTCTGCTGGATACCCTTTCCTCCTTACAAAGTAGCCTTTGGGAACCCCCATTCACCATAATGGAAAACAAAGCTGTTGAGAAAACAGGATTGAGTCCACCTCCTCCACTTGATTCCAAATGCCATTTAATGAAGCATGTAATCCACAAATTCCCATTGGACATGGTCATAAAGTTTCCCCATATCTACATGATCATTACACCTTGTTACCCTGCCCTCAGTCTTGAGTCAATGCATTCATCCACTTTCAAATAACCATCCAATATTTGCTTGCCATCTACAAATGCCCCTTGAGATGGAGAAATGATACTGCCAAGAACCTGCCTCAATCTGTTTGCAAGCACCTTACCTATTCAATCCCTTCTTCCATCTCACAAGTGGCAGGAAGTTTGAAACCTTTTTTTCTTTGTTGAAGAGAACCGGATCTACTTGGCAATGCAAACCCACAAACAATCCCTTCAATACAATTAGAGTATATATCAATTAGAAACCAACACTTGAAACAATGTGGCAAAAAAAAAACAAAATTAATCTTAATCCAATAACCACAAAACATCATCTGATTCATGCAAGATTTAAATGTTTCCTAGATTCTTTATTTAGTTTATGAAAAATACTTCACTCGTATTTTTCTACTGCTTCTAGGTGTAGAGACATGGGTTTGCAAATATTCCAGTTCAGGGTGGAAATAATTTCCATCCCATTCCTGAAGTAATGCCACCAAACCCAGTAAGTTATTACAAGTTGGGTTTTGTTTTTCATTTACTTACACTTTTAGCATTAAAATAATAATGCATTTTCATAATTTTGTCTTTTATATGCATAGATGTGAGTCAGAAACCCCTCCAATTCATAGTGGAGATAATTCTCATCCCACTCCAGTAGTACCATCACCAAACCCGATAACCTATCACAAGTTTGATTTATTTTTAATTTACTCACATCTTTTAGTGTGAAAATAATATTGTATTTCTTTGTGTTTTGTAACAGATATAAGATCCTAGAACAATGTCATCTCAAGTGCCTACAAGAGGGGGGGTGGGGAGAAAGGGAAGGGCAAGGACAAGGGCAAGGGAAAGGGAATGGGAAAGGAACTCTTTTGATGAGTATTTATTTTCCTTTTTTTGTAATCTTTTAATTTCATTTGAACTAAAATGTGAATAATTGTAAATATATATTACCTTTTATCTAGTATTGAATTTTAGCTTTAATGATATTATCTTTTATTTTGAATGGTTACGTGTGATTTAATGAATGCATATAAGATTTTTGTTGAAAATGAATATATATAATAGATTTGAAAACATGTTAATATAATCTCTATATTGGGCCATAACAAATATACACGTGGAGGTGTTTTCAGCTACAGAGGTTTTTGGTGACGTTTATTAGTAAACGTCACAAAAATGTAATTTAATTTTTTGCACTATTCATGACATTTAAGTAAATGTCACCAAAAGAGGACTTTTTTTGTGATGTTTTAGCAAACCTCACAAAAAAAAAAAGATAACAAATAAATTTCACCAAATTTGTGCATAGGGGACTCATGCATGTTTAAGCAAATGTCTCTTGTGTGTTCATTAAAGTGTAGAAGATTTTGGAACATACATCTCATGCACGTAATCTGGTTCCTCTATTCTATAAATGGGGAACCAGGGCCCTAAAGAGCGGATCCTTTCCCTTATCAATTTCTACCATAATTATCTTTGTATCTTACCCTTTTTCTAGGCTTCTAATCCTAAGCTCTTATTCTACCCTTTGGCGTCCTTATCTCCTAACATCAAGACATACAATCCATCCTTTTTTGATATAGGCTTACATCAAGAATCTCTGGTTTACAAGCTTGATGAAGCATAGAATACCCTAATGTCAAAGGATACTACTCAGCCAACTCTAACGCTAGGCATGGAAGTCTCATCAACATATGATGACAAACCTAATGATAACTAGGCCAGTTTGACAAGTTGGAGTTGAAGCAAAACAGGAATATTAGATTTGCTGTGTAGAAGCAAACCAACTATATATTTCAGTGGCTATAGAGCCACTTCTCAAAATAACATACATCACCAGTGCCAACATTAGCAACATTAACAACAATAATAGCTACAAGTTAACACGGGGTTCAACTTAACCCCTTCTTCACTAGATCTAGAGCCTAATAAGGCCCTCCTCATGGGCAACAAGTCCCAGAATCCTATAGATCGCCCTCAGATCTGAAGTTAACACCATAATCTGCCTCACCAGGGACACCATCACTAGCACAACACCATAGACTCTACCAGTACATCAGTCGAAGGTTCTATATTTACCATCTCTACAATACGGGTACCTTTACCCCAGCCCATCAGTATTTTCTCTATTCTACGGCCACAGAGTCGCAGACCCAATCCTCTTCAGTCTTCATCAACATTAGTAGTGTCCTCCGTATCAGTTTCTTCAACATTCTGAACATTAACCATGGTCCCAGCCACGGACACTGCTGGTGTCAAGACCCTTTCCGTCTCTATAGTAACATTTGGCCTCACTACTCATTCACTATAGATGACCTTGGAAAACAAATCAAACAAATTGTCAACAAACACAATGGTCCCTCAAGGACTGACCTCTCCTCCAAGTTAAAATTCTTAGCCTACATGAAAAAAGTTACATAAATGCAAAAACACTTGAGTATAGAAAAATAAGAGAAAACAAGTATAGAAATATACTCGCCACCAAAGAACCATCTGCAGTCTTAGCAGTCTTCTTTCTTGACCCCTTCCCAACCAGATCCACAGGCCTCTTCTCGGGCTTTATCTTAAGCCATAGAGGCCTAGTTTTCACCACAACGGCCTTCCCCTTCTCCTCTGCCCGTGCCTCTTCGTGGTCTTTTCCGAAGGTAATGATAGCCACGCAAGCTTTGCACTGTTAAGGAAAAGGAGTTGGATCTTTATCCAACTCCAAAAGATAAGGATAAACTCAATCTAGTAGGAGATTAATCTAGAGAAGGCTCTAGGATTTGTATTATCTGAAATTATTGTTTTATTATTAGGAATGTGCAATAATTCTCCTACTAGAACTCTAACACTTGTACTATAAATACATACACTAATGAGAAGCTCAACATCGCACAATTTTCAACTCATTATTCTCTCCTCTCTATTATTTCTTCATTGTTATTCTTGCTTTTCACTTTTACTATTGTCGTTCTTTCATGGTATCAGAGTCAATGGCTTCATCGTCCAGCACTGGTTCAACTCTTCCCTCTCTCGGTTCTACTTCACCTTCTGCATCAAGTCTCAACTCAATTACAATGCCGAACTTCTCTCACTTTCTTCCAATCAAGCTGACCAGCAGCGACAATTATCTCTCATGGAAGGCTAAATTTCTTCCCATATTCAATCTAAATGAAATTGAAGGCATCATGGGATCTCTACCTTGTCCAATAAAATTCATCCCTGATCCAAGCAACGCAACCAAGACTATCATCAACACAGAATTGACGACTTGGAATAGGTTCGATAAATTAATACTGGGTGGACTAGGTGCGGATTTTGATTCATTTATCACCTCTCTTATAACTCATCTCAACTTCAGTTCTCTCACTGTGGACATCTGCAAGGCTTTCTCTCCAACCATCAGGTCTGGCTTCAACAAAGACATCTTCCAGTTGTTTCTTAGTCTCAACCCTCGGCTAATCATGCTAACTCTCAGTCTCGTCCCTCCAACAACAATAACAACAACTTCGGCCAGCAAGGTAACCTTTCCCAATTTAAGAATCAAAATAATTCTAATTATTCTAATAATTATAGAGGACGAGGAAGAGGCAGTGGGGGTCGAGGCAAAGGCAACAACAAATATCAAAATTTTAGATCTCCTAATTCCAATGGTGAATTGAGATGCCAGTTGTGAACGTAGAAAAACTACTGGCAGTTCACTTCATGGCCGATTAAATGGAGTCACCACCCATCAGAATAGGTAACTGGGAGTGATGGGCCTCTTGGGATTGCATTTTTCAAAATTAATGGATCGCTAGTAACTCCACACTCCTCGGCCTTGGACAGGGCTGGTCTAGATAAGTTGAGAGAGAAAGAGAGAAGGGATTAGGCACCCATTTCTCTGGTCAGTGTAAATACCAAAATTTCCTCTTTAATTTGAATTCACATTTGAGACCCAAGTCCTCCAATAGCCCAAAAGGATGCTATGCTTCTGCTCTTCTAGACCAATCCCCATTTGGACGTAGGGGTTTGAGCAAAAGGGTGAAAGAGTAAACCTCTTGCAGGCCAATCCACTTTTCTATTAGAACCCCCACCTTCGGACTCAACTGAATGGTCTGAAGAGAGAAGAAGCACAAACCTCTCGGAGTCTAGAGAATTCACAGGCTTGAATTTGAAAGCAAGATAGAAAAACAAGATTAAACCAACAAGACTACAAAATGTAATGAAATAAGCGTATGAGTGAACAAACAAAACCAGAACTACCAAAACATAGATTCAAGTTTGAATAGAAGCTTAGGAATATGAGGTAATCAATTTTACCTCTTGTGCCCTTTGAATGGATAGATTAGAAATGATGCAAGGCAACTAGAGAGTTAGATTTTCTTGGATGCTTTCTGTCAGGCAGACACATGAGGGTTTCAACTTAGCTTCGAATAGGAGACTAGTGATGGTAGAACCCCCGATAGCGATATATACCTTAGAATAGAAATGAAGAGGTAAAGGATTCTTTTCCTTGTCAAACCTTTTAGTGAATGGGACCTTTCTCTGGAACCTTTTGACAAGGAAATGGAGAACGATAGCACCGAGCGGAGTTTTCTTCTTCCTTTAACCCGCCTCAGTTCGTTTCTTCCGCTTTTCCTCCTCGAAGAAGCCTCTATCTCCCTCTCTCTATTTTTTTCTCATAGAAGAGCTTCTCCCTCTCTCTATTTTTTCTCTCTTGAAAAATATATTTCTTCTCTTCTTGGTATCTCCCCTCTCCTTTTAGCTTGTTCTCCTCTTTTTTTGGATCAATGCTCCCTCTCTTTATAATGGTGAGGAGGAGCATAAAAACCTGCCAAGATGCCTATCCGAGGGGTGGGGGTTAAGGACGAGGTTGAAGAGTGGTCTAAATCGAATTAGTTTTGAGGAGGTTTACGAAGGGGGTCCAATTGTAAGAATCAAATTTTCTAGGGGGCCTTTTAGGCATTCATAGAGTGTGAGGGGAAATTTTGGTAACACAAGATGGGGGGGGAGGGGGGAACTGTGGGAAATTCGGGTTCGGGCTTTTAACGACACAGGCAATGTGGATCATTTTTTCTATTTAAGTGAATGGTATTTTAGGAATTGTATTAAAAGGGTATTGTGGTGACGTTTATCAGTTCAAGTAAGGGGTATTTTGTTGATTTGTGAGAAAAAGACAATCTGGAGGGTATTCTAGTAATTCGGTCATGGGGTATTTTGGGAATTTGGGTGTGAAGGGTAATTGTGAAAATTGGAAAGAGTGTCTTGGTAATTCGGTCAAGGGTATTTTGGTAAGTTGGGATTAAAAGGGCAATTTGGTAAATTAGGTACCAAAAGGTGATTGGGGTAATCTAGGGTTTGAATGGGAAGGTTAAAAGGGTATTTGGGTAATTTAGAGAATGAAGGGTATTTTGGTAATATGGTCAAGGGGTATTTCAAGAATTTGGAAGAAAGGGTATTTTGGTAATTGGTCAAAGAAGTATTTGGAAATTTGGTCCAAGAGTGTTTCAATAATTTGGAAGAAGGGTATTTTGGTAATTTGGAAGGGGCATTTTGGTAATTTTGGTATCAAGTGAGATCAATAGCAGATTTTGAGGATTTGAGGGGTTGAGACTTGGGTTCTTTGGATTCTTTGGGTTTTGACAAGGTCATAATAGTTTGATCAGTGTTCGAGGGTGAGTTAGGGGTTTAGACGGAGGACCAAGCAAAAATCGAGTGAAGTAGGAAACTACGAAACAACAAAGGCCAAAAAGAAGCATACAGAGATTTTTGCGAAGGGCAGGCTTGGAAGATGGGCAAGAAGAGAGAGGTGAAGGTGAAACGAGGACTCCGTGCAGCATTGTTTCATCATAACCAGGCCAGTTTTATTATTAGGTATCTACCTAATCACTGGGTGATGGTTTATCCTTAGGGGAGGGGCATAGCGCATGTCAAACACAAAAGAAAAAGTAGTACATCAGAGCGCGATAAGTCGCGGTGCAATAAGGAAATACACTTTCTACTAGAAAACAAATCAAGAAAATTCTATAGCATAATGCAAAGTTCAAGTACTTATACTAATAATATGTGCGATATGCTGCATTATAATCTGGAAACACCGCTTTAAGCCAGGAAATCGACATTCAAGATATTGAGCACGTTAAGTCATGATGCAAATCGGAAAATCCACTGTGAGTTGGAAAATTAGTGAAAACTCATGATATGCAATTATGCAACACTCAAGATTCTTAGTACATTAACCGTGATGCAAATCGGAAAATCTACTATAAATTGGGAAATCAGCAAAAACTCATGATATGCAATTATGCAACATTCAAGATTCTTAGCACGTTAAGTCGTGATGCAAATCGGAAAATCCATTGTAAGCTGGAAAATCAACAAAAACTCATGATATGCAATTATGCAACATTCAAGATTCTTAGCACGTTAAGTCGTGATGCAAATCGGAAAATCCATTGTAAGCTGGAAAATCAACAAAAACTCATGATATGCAATTATACAACATTCAAGATTCTTAGCACGTTAAGTCGTTATGGAAATCGAAAAATCCATTGTAAGCCGAGAAATTAGCAAAAACTTATGATATGCAATTATGCAACATTCAAGATTCTTAGCACGTTAAGTTGTGATGCAAATCAGAAAATCCACTATAAGTTAGGAAATCAACAAAAACTTATGATATGCAATTATGCAACAATCAAGACTCTTAGCACATTAAGTCATGATGCAAATCAGAAAATCCATTGTAATCTGAGAAATTAGCAAAAACTCAAGATATGCAACTATGCAATATTCAAGATATTGTAAGCCGGGAAATTAACAAAAACTCATGATATACAATTATGTAACATTCAAGATTTTTAGCATGTTAAGCCGTGATGCAAGAATATAGTGCAAAGTCAAAAAAAGATCGTTATCCTATAACGCACATCAGACTCAACACCTTTTCATCAACTTCCTTTGTTCTACCGATTGAAAACAAAATCTTCCTTCTTTACTCTTTCATTGTTTAGAATCGCTGTGGCTTCTACCCAATTTTTTATTATTTTCATTTTTGTTCTATATTCTTCTCCTTTTTTAATCGTTAGTTAAAACTATCGAACACCACTCAGACGTTCCTAGCCTTTTGAAATCCAAAAAGTATATTTGTGCAATTGATCCAGATGATGCATCTTGAAAAACAACCTTGCGTTTAGGAGGAATTCTAATTCTTCCGTAGGCTTTTTCTGTAATGCCAGAGTGAGGGGGAACAAATAGAGAGAGTTTGTATAAACAAGAAAGAAAGAAATGTATGAATTAAATGTAATGGGTAACACTGCAAGTAAGCTCCTTAGGCTAGGCAAATCGAATCAAATCATTTTAAACCTACACTATTGACTAAAACTTGAGCATGGAGGACTCTTTAGAACCACTGATCATGTTAACCTTCAAAATGCCTATACCTGGTGCTATTTCATGCATGGCTTTTTTTACCCTCTTTTGCCCCTGCCACCTCACATGGAGGTTTTCACCAGGTCTAGGTGTCACCTAAATTTTGTGCCACAAATCCAATTCTGGTTGTCACCCGAGCTGGTGAAATTAGATCTTGCCATGACCTAATTCTCTTATTCGAGGCGCCCTTTTGGGTTTTCACCCCGCCCTTTCAAACCATGCTTTATTTTGTGAATTCAATTAACTCTCTTTAATCCCGTCATCACCTAGGGTAAGGGATGCTTTCAACGTTCTTTAGAGATATATACCATATGCCCTTTTGATCAAGGAGGATGACATTGGGAAAAGGTGTGGGTAGTGGATTCTTCCTTTGTGGAAAGAAGGGAAAGGGATAGGATGGCTGATTGGCCTAACCCCACTTGAATTCTTCCTCTTGCCTTTCTTCTTTCATGCTCTCCTTCATTTTGCTTTTCCTTTATTTGCATTCTTTTCTCTTCACCTCTCTCTCCTTTTCCCTTTCTTTTTTTACCTCTTGTAGTTGTCCAAATTTCCCTTTTTTTGGACAACTGATCATAATTTTTCTATGTGCAAATCCCCGAAAAAGGTATTTTGAAGATATCTCAATTCTCTACTTCATCATTTTGATTGGGTTTTGCAAGAGCCGATCCTTATCGAGATGGGTTTATGAGAAGGGAGGAAGCTAATAAGTAAGCTCAAGGGGCTAACAAGTGAATCAAAGTATGAACGTGGGTGTTCAGTTCATTTTGGATAAAGAAAATGGCCGAAAGGAGGTATCCTTCCATTTCAAAGACAAACATATAGCATATATATATAAGAATCACATGTTCAAGCATAATATTTTCTTATTTGATCAAGGTTAACTAGTTCAGAAAGATCTTCATCATCCATCTGGCTTAATATGAGAACTCCTTCGGACAAACGTCTTTTGACAATGTATGGATCCGTAGGTTGGGGCGAGCATGCTACTAGTATCCTATTGATTTGGAATTGTTCTACAAAGGACCAAATTGCCAGGCTGGATGTCATGTGAATGAACCTTTTTGTTAAAAGTGTGTGCCATTCGCCTCTAGTAGGCTTGTACATGTGTCAAAGCTGTCAATCGAACTTCATCCAAAAGTGTTAACTGCTCATATCATGCCTTTACCCATTCGGCTTCGGGGATTTTAGTTTTAGAAAGATTCTCAAAGAAGGTGCCTCAACTTCTACAGGGAGCACTGCTTTCATGCCATATACTAGTGAGTAAGGGGTCGCCCTAGTTGAAGCACAAATTGAAATTCTGTATGCAAGTAATGCAAAGGGAAGCATATCCTGCCAAGACTTATAAGGGACATTTTTAGAATCTTTTCTATATTCTTGTTTATTGCTTCTACCACACCATGGACCTGAGGATGATAGGAGGAGGAATGAAGCTACTAGATCCTGAACTGGTCACATAACTCCTTAACTTCTTTGCCAACAAAATTATTACCATTATATGAAATTATCTCATGCTGAACCCTATATTTGGCAATAATATGATTGCGAATGAACTATACTATTTTCTTCATCGTGGGATAAGTGATGGTTATTGCTTCTACCCACTTTGTAAAGTAGTCAATAGCCACCAAAACAAAGTTATGCTTGTTAGAAGCAGGTTGAAGGGGTCTTAACATGTCCATGCCCCAAACAGAGAAATACCAAGGAGATGTAAAAAAATACAATTCAAACGATGATGCATTGATCTTGTTACTAAACACCTGACATGCATGACACTTTCTAGCATGTTTGCAGCAGTCTTCATCCATTGTCATCCAAAAGAAACCCATTCAGAGAAGTTTCTTAGACAACATATGCCCATTCATGTGGGGTCCACAAATTCTATCATGCACTTATTCTAGTTTCTTTTGTTCTTCCATTTCATCTAGACACCCCAACCAAGGTAATCCTGGGAACTTCTTTTACAAGATTCCCTGAGACAAAATAAATTGACTAGCTAACCGTGCTAGGGCCCTTCAATCCTTGATACCTACCCCATCCAGAAAAATTTCGTGTTCCATAAAGTTCTTTATGTCATAGAACCATGGATTTCCATCAAATTCTTCTTCATCTACTGTAAAGGTGTTTACTTCATGCCTATGTGTGGGTTCAACATCCTTATACAACTTGATAAGTTCAACCTCATCCTCCTCAAGAAATCTCGTAGATGACCTCAAAGTTGTTAATACATCAATAAAACGATTATCCTAATGAGGCAAAAAATTAAAACTAACACTCCTAAAGCTCTTCAAAACTTCCTAAAGGTAATTATAATAAAGGGCCAATCGATCATCTTGAACCTCCCAATCACCTTAGGCTTGGCTGATGACCAAGA